ATGGCAATCGCTATTGAGTTTAAATTATGTGTACACTTTTAAGCTGAAGTCCAGGAAATCTGAAAATTCTTCTTTGCAGTGGGGCATCAACCAGACTGCAAAGCTTACTTATCTGATCTTCTGCTCCCCAGGCAGACAGCACTTTCCTATGGTCTGGCAGTGGACTGTCCCTCAACATTCGCAGGTCCAATGAAGGACTGTGCATCAGTCTTGATGATGTCAAGACCTTAAACAGGGCAAGAGGCTGTGGGGACTAGTCTAGCAGAGGAGAGGTAAAAATAGGTAAGTAAATTTTACCCATGCCACCTAGAACTAAGGCCCCTTTCACATGGGGCAGACAGATTTGATCAACAGGGGATCTGTCCCCTGATCCCCTGCTGATCAGAAAAGAACAGGTAGATGACAAGTACATGTCTGCTCAGTTTATGCAGAGTGGACACAGACAGAGCCCACTCTGCTTTATAGACGGCTGGGTGTAATTGGACTGTCTATTTGCACCCGCCTGCTCTCTGATCCAATCTTTCTAGATGGATTTTTTTCTTAGCTGACCAGATCAGATTGGAGGTAGTTGGGTGTAAATAGACACAATTCTATAGGGGTGAATGAAGGGTCCGATCATGCCCGCCTGTAAAACTGGCAGGCAGACCTGATCAGACCCTTCATGTAAAAGGGGCCTAAACGAGCCTAAACGAGCAATTCATTTTCAACTTTCCTGGAGTTTAGCTGTAAAGATGAATTCCAGGTATAGGATATTTTATTCATATGTTACATTGGCCCAGCTTGGACCAATGTAACAATGTATATACTATACCTGGCCAATGCCCCTGGAAGCTGAAGATCACTGATGTCAACACCGCTACTGCAGTGATCTCCACTTGCTTCTATATTGTACACTGAGCGGCTGCTCTGCTGCATTCTAAACATAGGCACAGGGCCATTCATTCAATAATTAGCATTTTCTGAATAAAAGCAAAGTGTTCTGTTTGGACGAGGTGGAGAGGAGGGGCTGTAACCTCACCATTTTCATCTCGGCCAGTCAGAGAACAGTTCGTGTTCAGAATGCAGTAGGGCAGCCGCTCAGCGCGGCACCGGATGACTGGAGCAGCGGTGTCAACTTCAGTGATTTTCAGCTTTCTGGGACATCGGCCAAATATGGTATATACATAATTACATTGGTCTAAGCTGGACCACTGTAACTATGTATAACATATCCATGCTTGGAGTTCAGCTTTAAATTTCACTGCACTGAATACTGGAAATAGCATTCTTTCTGTCAGTAGATACAGTGTGGCTTCTGCTTTTCTTTCATTTGAAAGATTCATGCAGTTTATGGTGTAGGAATATAATCTGTTATTCTTTGAATGGGGTACAACTGTTGGGAATCATAGCCATGTAAAGGTCATAGCTTCACCTTGGCTGGTATTTGTCCTCCAGTGCCCTTGGCTGCCGTACCTGCTTAGTGAATTCAGTGGCATGTAGCTCGAACAGCTCTGAAGATATGAACTGTTGAGGTCCTCACCTGAATGCCAGATACAACAATAGATCATGCCGCTTCCAAGGTCTATCCAGCATTTAGTATTGTGTTTTTCATTGATATCAATGATTTGTATGCTGACAGCTGTTCACCCAATCTCTACTATAAACCGATGCCTGGAACGAATACATCTAAATAAAACCATTCTCCCAATTAGAACACATTGAGACGGAACTTGTTCCACAATGCTAACACCGAATGTCAAATTACCAAAATAATTGCAAATCCTTTGTGTCCACCCCTTCCTGTAAGCACTACATTCACCGCAAGTGTGGACAGCACTTTCTCAGTAATTAAACCCCCTTCAGATACAATGAAGCTTGACTGCTAATACGTTAAGTCGAACTGTCGAGAATCACAATTTCCGAGTAATGCTGAAAAACAAGTGTGTATTTGCATATGAGCCGCTATATCTGAGCTCCCTTCAGCTTTTCTGTTAGTTGCCAATGAGTCATTGTCACACAGAGCAGCATTTGTTGCTCTTCTGAGCAGAAGCAGCATGGTACAGGCAGCCCACGGTAAGCACTAACCATTGGCACACTGTGTATTTTCCCTTCTAATAGAGATCGGCTATTCAGCAAAGGAAACCAGACTTCCCAAGACTCCTTTCAGATCATTTCATGTTAAAATGTCCTTTTTTTTTGAAAGACACACTTAGCAGCTTCTTGGCAGCCGGCCTCGATTTGCTTTTCCATTGATAAACTACTCTGTTTGGATTGTACTTGCTTATTTTATTTGCATTACATGTTCCTTGTGTTTTAGTTTTTATTTTTGCTCTGCTTCAGCCCTGGCTTTAGTTATTGATATACGTAGACATTGAACTGGTTTGCATGGAACCTAGAAATTTTTTTTGCGTTTTAAATATATTTTAATTAGTAATATTTTTTTTCTTGGATACAGTACCACTAAACATTAGTTGTGTGTATTGGTGAGCAGGGGCGGACTGACCATTTGGAAACTCAGGCACCGCCCGAGGGCTCGGGGTCAGTAGGGGGCCCCATGAGATGCCCTGGTACCTTTTTCATAGGCTTTTTTGAGTTTGGGCAAGGACACGGGCCCCATGATCCCCTATTGCCCGGGGGCCCCTTGAGTTGTCAGTCCGCCCCTGTTGGTGAGCATTGTATTACCTACAGGAAACTGATTTGACTCAAAATCCTCAGTGGTGTGTCCCCTTCCCAGCCATTGTATACTGTTTGGGCGTCTGTCTTCTGGCACTGTGAAGGGTAACAGTTCAGCAGCTTCTAATCAAAAAATGACATATCTAACATTTATAGGTAAAGTTGATCCAGGGAATATTCAATTGCCTCTGGGATCAGGAAGGATTTTTTTTGCCTGCAGGAGCAAATTGGATCATGCTTTGCTGGGTTTTTTTTTGCCTTCCTCTGGATCAACTGTGGGTATAGGATTATAACTTTTTTTTTTAAATGGTTGAACTGGATAGACTTTTGTCTTTTTCAGCCAGATTAACTATATATAACTATGAAATGTTATGCTGCTCACCCACCCCCTCTTCTCACCTCTGCCATTCATAAAACTCAATCTTACTACACTATGATGCATCAGTGTTCCGTGAATGGCGAAAGAGTTGAATGACAGCATCTTCTGCACCCATTCACATAATTCGATGCATCATGGAGTGTAGAAAGACAAGTTCTATGATTGGCAGAGGGGGCAGGCGAGTAGTACAAGTAATGGTATACACACCATTACATATACTTAATATGCATGGCACTGTATCCCACCAAAAAATAAACTGTTAAGTCCAAAAAATAAATATGTATGATCAAATCGATCCAAAGTGTAATTCTTCAGTTTCACAGTGGGAACATTATATATCACCATTCCTCTTGATAGTTCCCACCACATGACTGCAGTGAACACACACTCCCCCACAGACTTGGGCTTACCCCCAGAAATGCATACCTTTCATATTATTGATCGACATTACACATATGGTGGACTTTTTTTATCGGTTTTGTAATTTTTTTTATTTTCACCTTACATTTCTGATTAAGTTTATTTAATTATTGATTATTTTAATGGTGACAGCAGTGGTTTATTGGGAAATATTGACATACCACTAAGCTTGTCTATAGCGCGAAGTACTACTTGAGTGCTGTTATTGAGGCCTCCTAAAAAGTATCAATATCATTTTGTTAAAAACAAAAGCCTAATGTGGTTGGTGAAACTCAGATCAACCATGTGCCCTTCAAAGGTCCACATTTCTTCTCAGACTGTCAAAGGAAACAGTTTGCTAAAATGCATCCATCAGTTGTCATCATAAATTGGGTTTTTGGATGTGTCCTTTTCTACTTTAAATCAACTCATGGAGGAACTCAGGAAAGTGACTTACTTGATTTGAATGAATTTCCTAAGGAATTTATGTTTCTAGTAAAAAGAAGTTCCAAATTACATACTGGGAAGAAATATGAGTTTGAAGGTTAGGTGAGGGTAGAAAGCCTTAGAGTTGGAGGTAATTCGCTGTTTGTACATGGATGATACTTTTAATCAACTATTAACTAGTAACTATTAAAATGTGTAGTGCTTTAATTTGTTTTGTTTTATTTGTTTATAATCGTCAGGGCTAGAATATAGTGTTTTGCGTTTGTTATAGTCAAGAAAATATTGCATATTGATATTTAGCATTCTTTAGCCTGCAGGCTGAGCTTTCAGTTCCTTTTCATATTAATACAGGTTATTTTTGCTCCTTTGATGAAAAAAACATGCTGTGTACAGAGCTCTGTAGCTCAAGCTGCAATTTACACACACAATGACTCATCAGACTTACTCATTATTATTATTATTATTGGACGTAAAGTGGGAAGTTACTACAGTGCTGACATTTTAGCTAAGCCTCAGTGCTCTGAGCATACATTTTAATTGTATACTTATAAAACAAAGATTGAACACATATAGTGAAAGCAGTTATAAAATATCAGTTTGCTTGAGGTGATTGTAGCCGTATTAGTGCACTTGCGACAAAAACAATTGAGTACTGACGTGATACTTTTTTTATTTGCACTAACATACAATTTTGAGGACAAGCTTTCGGGGTATGTCCCCTTCTTCAAGGTCCGAGCAGTACTATTACAAAGTTTTAGCAGAATGTTAGAAGAGATGTGGGGGATGAGAAAAAAAAAAAAAAGCAAAAAGAGACACAAGCCTAGGGTTAGCCTAGAGATAAGACACAGCAAAGCAAAAGCAAAGACTGGGGAAGGGGAGAACAACACTCACAGAGGGAGTCATAAAAATGTTGGATAATGATTGAGGAATTCCATGTCCAAATTAAGGCCCTTATCTCTTGTGTCAAATAGAATTATCATTCTTAGTTCAAAAGTTTTTCTTTCCTGAATGGATTTGAAATTTCCTTTAAGAACTAAAACATTGAGGTTTTCCATAATGTGGTCTGGTTGTGCGAAATGGTGTCCCACAGGTGTGCAAAAGCCATCTTCTTTATGTTCCTTGATGGTATGTCTGTGCAAATTCATCCTTGTTTGCAACTTCTGTCCTGTTTTGCCAACATAAGATCCTTTGCTACACTTTCTGCACTGGATAAGGTACACAACATTACTGGAGGTGCAGCTGTATGATCCGGAGATATTGAAGATCCCTTTTGAGTGTCTGACACTTTTTGATGGATTTATTTGGTTGCACAGTTTGCAGCGTTTTTTATTGCAGGGTTTGCTTCCATTATTTGTGACCTCATAATCAGAAGGAAGTTTCCTACTGATTAGTTTATTTCTGAGGTTGGGGGGTTGTCTGAAGGCCAGTATTGGGGGTTGCTGGAATATTTCTTTCAGAGTTCCATCCTCTGTTATGATGGGTTGTAAATCTTTGATTATTTTTTTTTTTATTCCTTCTAGTGCTGGGTTGTATGTGGTTACTAGAGGTACACGGTTGTTTGTTTTTTTCTCTTTGTACTGAAGTAGATTTTCTCTTCGGATTCTCAAGGCTGTGTTTATGCAGGTGTTGATAGTTTTGTCCTTGTAATCTTTCTTATGGAAGGCGTCTGCTAGTGTCCCGAGATGTTTATCTCTGTCTCTTGGGTCAGAACATATTTGGTGGTATCTAATGGCCTGACTGTGTATAATGGCACGTTTTGTGTGTTGGGGGTGGAAGCTAGAAATGTGGAGGTAGTTGCATCTGTCAGTGCGTTTCCTGTATATTGATGTGTGAAGCGTATCATCCCTGATATATACTGTGGTGTTTAGGAAGCTGACGTGTGTGTTTGAGTATTCCATTTTTAGTTTGATTGATGGATGAAAAGTGTTGATCAATGAGTAAAATTGTTTTAGGTTTTCTTCACCTTCTGTCCATATGATGAAAATATCATCAATATAGCGATAGTATATATGTATGGTTTATGTTCCATGCTGTTCAGGAATTTTTCCTCCAGGTCAGCCATAAATAAATTGGCATAATGGAGTGCCATTTTACTTCCCATCGCAGTACCCATACATTGAAGATAGATGTCTTTATTGAAGGCAAAGTAGTTGTGTGTAAGTATGAATTCAATGAGCTGTGTAACATCCTCAGCAGTGTATTTATGGTTTGGTGAGGATAATAAGGATCTGTGACATGCAGCTAATCCATCCTTGTGAGGGATATTACTATACAGGGATACTTACAGTAGAAAACTTCCTTCTGATTTTGAGGTCACAAATAATGGAAGCAAACCCTGTAATAAAAAACGCTGCAAACTGTGCAACCAAATCAATCCATCAAAAAGTGTCAGACACTCAAAGGGGATCTTCAATATCTCCGGATCATACAGCTGCACCTCCAGTAATGTTGTGTACCTTATCCAGTGCAGAAAGTGTAGCAAAGGATCTTATGTTGGCGAAACAGGACAGAAGTTGCAAACAAGGATGAATTTGCACAGACATACCATCAAGGAACATAAAGAAGATGACTTTTGCACACCTGTGGGACACCATTTCGCACAACCAGACCACATTATGGAAGACCTCAATGTTTTAGTTCTTAAAGGAAATTTCAAATCCATTCAGGAAAGAAAAACGTTATATTTTCCTGCACAGAGCAGCCCTGATCCTCCTCTTCTCTGGTCCCCCACTGGTGATCCTGGGCCTTCCCTCCTGCCGCTTGCTTCTGGGGGCACGCATGCATGCTCAGTCCAGATTCGGCCCTGTATGTTCACAAGACACACAGAGTATGGCTCTGCCCTTCCTCACTGGCAGTGATTGACAGCAGCGGGAGCCAGTGGCTTCCACTGCTGTATCTGGGCCAATGAGGAGACAGAGACCTGGGAGAGCCGATGCTCTTTTGCACATCGCTGGATTGGGATTGGGCTCAGGAAAGTATAAGGGGAGCTGAGGGGGGAGCTGCACTTTGAACTTTGAAGGTTTTTTACCTTACTGCATAGAATGCATGAAGGTAGAAAAAGCCTTTAGAACCACTTGAATGAATAAGTATTGGTGGTCAGTGCAAAGGCAGTGATATTTACCCCCCCGTCAAATTTGGTAATGGTAATCAATGAAAACGAAGTGCTTTGCTCACAGGTGCAGCGCAGTCCCACAACGCAAAACGTATTTAGCAAAAGAAAAAGTAAAAAAAAAAACCCCATGTCATGAGGCAGCAGTAGCACCTCCTGAACGCCTGTCAGCCGCTGCTATACAGTCCCCTGGAAAGCAATCCACTGTGGATTGGTGAATTCACTGCCTGTCTGAAAGGTACCTAAAGATGACCGTTTTCTTACTTTTCTGATAACAACAACTGATCTGGTAATACAAAGCATTGGAAATAAACCTGAATCCCACTGATATCAGAGTGGATCAACAACATAATTTGAAATTTCAAAGCAAACAAAAAACAAAGACCAGGCAATACAAATCACTATCATCAATTCCTGAGTATCTGAAAACCCCGACTCATTTTTCAAACAAATATCTAAACACATTCACAGCGAGTGGCTAAGGTAATTTGATCACGTGGTCTGTAAGTGTCAGAGATTACTTCACTAAGACTACCTTCACACTGAGGAGTTTTTCAAGCATTTTTGCATTAAAAAAAAGTGTCTGAAAAGCTCCAGAAAACTGCTTCCCTATGTATGTGAATGTATATTTTTGGGGCATGTTTGGGGAGGTAAAAAAAAAAAAACGCCCCAAAAACACCTCTTCTCATTGAAATCAATGGAAAACACCTGAAAGAAGCCTTTTTGGTGCAGTTTTAAGTCACATGTCCTTTACAAAACGCGATAAAAACACCTATGCATTTTTTTTAGATGTTTTTGCGGCAGATCAGTGTGAAGTTGCCTAAGTTGGACGTATTTCGAAATCTATGTTATACAGATGTATCTAATTGTTCTTGTTTACCTCTTTTTTTTTTTCTCTCCTGACTAATCGTGTATCTGGAAAATAATCTGATTGTAATGATTTATGTTATTGTTACACTTGTCACACATTATTGGGATCTTTGAAACAACAAAAAAATTTTAATGTATAAAAAAAAAATTCTGCTCCAAAATGTAATTGTAACACAAGGTATGACATAATTGGATAAATTATATGGATGTCATTTGTCGCTAGAAATGATATGCTTGCATGAACCAGAAAACATGGCAAAGGCATGTACCTTCAATGAAAAGTCCAAACAGAGTCTAGACAATCAGTAAAGAAGTTAAATTGCACCCAACATTCAAACAAGTAGTGTATTCAAACTGTGTATAAAGTAAATCCATTCACCAGCTATAAATTAAAGCAAAAAGTGAATAAATAATCACCCCTAAAATGTATATGTATTTGCTAACCTAAAAACAGTCAAAATTAATCACTGATAATTGTGCCAAAAAACTTCAAATATCAAATGTACATAAATCAAAGTGATGAAAAAATGCAATCATGTAATTAATATCCTGTATATTTGAAAAGGACAGCGCTATCTACAATTTATCTAATAAAGTGTCAGGTGCATATGTATTACCTTCTACTCAAAAATAAATATATATTCTATGCATTCCATTCTAAAAAATAAATATAAATATTAACATTCCAGTTGCATATGCATTTTCAGCATCAAAACAATCTCCATATAAACATTAAATATGTGAAATATAATGTGCAAAATCAGTTCATATGCAAAGTCCTTACTAATCCTTAACCACTTCAAGTCCAGGCACTTTCTCCCCCTTCCTGTCCAGGCCAATTTTCATCTTTCAGTTCTATCACACTTTGAATGACAATTGCGCGGTGATGCAACACTGTACCCATATGAATGTTTTAGCATTTTTTGAGACATATAAAACTTTATTTTGGTGGTATTTATTCACTACTGGGATTTTTATATTTTTGCTATATAAATGAAAAAGTCCAAACATTTTGAAAAAAAAAGTGTTTTTCCTATAAAATTTTTTGAAAATAAGTAATCTTTCTTCATAAATCTTGGCCAAAATGTATTCATCTATCTTTTTAGTAAAAAAAGGCGATCACAGCGGAAGTGGGAGCGGGTACCTGTTAAATTGGCTCCCCAAATGTGCCAATCCCTAATGGGGAGCAGGGGACAAAGCATTAAAGCGGAACTTCCCGTTTTGGGTGGAGCTCCACTTTAATTATGGCAAATGCAGCTCCCTGACCCCTCATAAACAAAAGAACTATAGAATCAAAAAGAAAAGCAGGATTTTTTTCAGTGCTATCAGTGTTTTCAGAGTTATCAGAATGAAGCATCTGAAATGGTAAGCAGCAATATTGAAATGTTTTTTTTTTAGTTATGCTTGGTGGATGGGAATATGTAACAAATATTAAGCAGGTGTTCTCCCAATTTGGCTGCAAAAGTGGAAATACACTTTAAGGGATCCTTGCTGGTTAGTTTTCCATTGTGTTAGCACTTTGTACATATAGTATATGAAGTCATGCATGGCATATTTCCCAAATGTGGCCATAGGCGATAGGTGATTGCTGCCTAATCTGGACAATTTATTCTGAAATATGAATGGACCTCAAATGTGAGCTGACACTTCTGGTGAACCAACCTCAGTGGAGAAGGTTGAGTAGGATATCCCTGGTAATCAGAATGCAGGTGCTAAGATTTCTGATTAGTACAAAACATGCATTCTTTGGTATTGTGAATGTGCACATCATGTACACATCATTATGGAAAAAATCGTCGGTCCCCAATGCACTGCTGTTTAGTGAATTAGATGATTTGATTCAGTGACACCTTATTATTTTATTGGTATAAAGACTGACATGTCTGCTTTGTTCTGTATTTCAGATGGAATCAATTTACTAACATCATTCTGGTCCTGCTGCTGCTGGGCGAGCAGCGTCACTACATGATCACATGACTCTGGATATGGACTCAGTCCTGTCAGACTTTGTTCGGTCTACAGGGGCTGAACCTGGTCTGGCAAGGGACTTGCTGTGAAACTTGATTTTCAGGAAAAAGATCTTCATAGGGTGCGCAACTATTTCGCGGCCTACTGTCTAAGTATATGTAAGTCGCATGCATGGCTATATTTCAATGTGGCCATAGGCGATAGGTGATTGGGCTGCCTAATCTGGACAATTTACAATCTGAAGGTAAGATGACTTTTTTTGTATATCATTTGTGGTTATTTTGCTGTTTTTTTCAAAGTGAACCTCCCAACAAATAATACATCTGTGAATACACATAAGGTATACATACACAGGAACTGATTTACTTGCCAAATCGCCTTCCTGCTGTATTGGATCGCTCACTAGTGTCAGTCTGCAAAGTCGGCAAGGTGTCACCCCTGTCTCCTGATGCAGGTTTGAGGCAGTTAGTTTCCCCTGCCCTCTCATTGGACAACAAAGGAGCATAATCCTACCTCTGTGTTCTGCCTGTATGCTTCCTTAACACTTTCCTCTCCAGCCACCAGTGCCTGTCTGCCTTACAGTACATAAATACCCACTCCATTGGTGGAAACTCAGATATGAACTGTCAGACCAACTAAAGGTAATAATGAAACAGTCTGTGCTAGTATAAAGTATTTTCTATTATCAGCAGCTAAAAAAAGAACGATATACAGTATGTAGTGGATCTCCACTCTCCAAAACACTATCCCTCTGCTTCCCCATCTACGGTCCTCTACATGAATAGCAAGCTTTTTTCTTTATTTAAATTTTTTAATCTGGCCCTGCTCCCCCTTGCACATCATTCACCTAGGCAAATGATATGGACTGTGCTCCCTTTGCCTCATTGGATATGCACGTCACATATCCCAGGAGGCATCGTCTTTCATTAAAGAAAGGAGGAGGGGGGCAGGCCTATCGGCGCCTCATCGGGAACCCGGAACAGTTGACAGCCTATTGATGACATCACAGCAAAACATGGCAGCATGCGAGTGCTGCCAGAATAGAAGAGGATCTCAGCTGGACAAAGCTGGATCTGATGTTTGGGTATCTGAAATATGCTCCACACACCACCAGGTAAGTAGAGGTTTTTAAAAAAAAAATAAGGGATGGAGGGTGAAAATCCACTTTAAACTAAACTGCTTAATGAATGGCCTCCCCAGCCCTTCTTCCACACTGCCATTTTCAAATTCTGGTATGTGCACATACGTATGTCTCACTGGTGTCTTCCAGGCATCCATTACCTGGCATAGACCGGCAGCACATCTTTGCTCGGGCAGTAGATTTCTTTGCCTGTGCACAGCATTTGATAGATTCTGGCAGATCATCAAGATACCCCATGGCAGCATTTGTACACATGCGCAGAAATCTGCTGAATGTGCGCAGATGCGCTGCAGCCTAGTAACACACTTCCTCTTGGAATAGCTGTGACGTATCAATCCCAGGGGGCAGCAGGGCCTGGCCTAGCCGGAAACCAGGAAGTGCTGCCTTGCTGCACAAAAAACTTCTGAAAAGGAAAAAGTTTAA